ATTCATATCTATCTATCTATCTATCTATCTATCTATCTATCAGTTTATTCATATCTATCTATCTATCTATCTATCTATCTATCTATCAGTTTATTAATATCTATCTAAATGGTGCTCCGAAAGTCTTGTCTCTTGTCTTTTCCTACCAAAAAGTAATGAAAACAATAGAATAACAAGTAATACAATGCACATGTACTGGATTAAGTTTATTCATTTTCATTGACGCTGTCAAACATCGAGACGGTTTGTATAAATACCATCATTTTCGTGTAGGAGCTCGTGTCAGCCATTTGAAATAGAAAATTATATTATGTCGGGGTGACAAGACGTTCAGACCACCCTGTACATTACAAACAGGAACTATGTCTACCTTTTTAACACCTGTGTATCATACGACCTCTGAAGAATAGAGTTTGCAACAGAATTAAACCGGAAATTAAACATGAGAAGTACAGGTTCGTTAAAGACAATGAGAATAAGGAATGCGATATTTATTCTCAGAATGATATCAGGAATCGTAATACAAATGCAGGTAATGTATCTGTGTTTTATAGATTATACAAAAACGTTTGATAAAGTACAGGGTGGTCTGTAAGTCTTGTCACCCACTACTACAACTTAATGAGAACAATAGAAGAACAATTAATACAGTCATACAAAGCACATGTACTGGATTCAGTTTATTCATTTTCATTGACGCTGTCACATATCGAGAAGGTCTGTATGAACACTATCCTTTTTGTAGCAGCCATTTGAAATAGAATATTATATCATGTAGCGGTGACAAGACTTTCGGACCAAACTCACTCTATCTATCTATCTATCTATCTATCTATCTATCTATCTATCTATCTATCTATCTATCTTCCAACCTATTCTTTATCTATTTATCTATATTTCAGTCTGTTCATATCTATCTAAATGGTGCTCCGAAAGTCTTGTCTCTTGTCTCTTCCTACCATAAATTAATGAGAACAACAGAACAAGTAATACAGTAATAGAAAGCACATGTACTGGATTCAGTTTATTCATTTTCATTGACGCTATCACACATCGAGACAGTCTGTATGAACACTATCATTTTCCTGTAGGGACTCGTGTCACCCATCTGAAATAGAAAATTATATTATGTGTGGGTGACATGACTTTCGGACCACCCTGTAGGTTAACGAATTGTTTCGTTTTTTTTTTGTTTTTTTTTGTTTTTTTTGTTTTTTTTACAGTTTATCGACCTTTTGCAGATTATTTAAAGCCAAAAATATTTTTTAGAAGATAAGATAATTTTTTTAGATAATAATGATTTAGTGATACAAGTTTTACTTTTTATCCCATATCTGGGTGCATAGGGTGGATTTAGAAAGATGTATTCATACATTTTTCCCAGGGTTATTTGGCGTCAGTGAATATAACGGCCCCAAAGGGAATTGGAGCTCGGGCTTTCCGATTAACAATTCAGAAACTTTCTCCATTACACCATTCGCCTATCCGATCGCATTCCCAAGCGGCAACCCATCTAGGTACTGACCAGGCTCGATGTTGCTTAACCCCGGAGGCCGTACGGAAACCAGTGTTTCAATGCGATGCAATCGTCAGCCACTCAATGTAGAGTTAGCTGTTAAAATCGATGAGGTGTGTGATATAAATTTAAAAATAAAAAACATGACAGAAGATGATTTTGAGAATAAGAAGGATAGATAAAAACTAACATTTAACTTGAAGATGTCAAGATGTTACGGAAACCACCCATGCGGGAGTATGTTCCTTAAAGCAGAGTTTCTTGTAGAAAAAATGTTGTTTGCATGAAACTTTATTCTTAGGAATTAAATATGGGGGAAATGAAGGTGATTCAACCCCGTTGAAGTGGCATGGTGTATCCTAGTTGCAATTGTCTAAACCAACGTTTCTCAAACTTTTTACCCTTGCGTAACACTTAAAATAAATGATATGCCTCAAGGGACCCCTGCGCAAATACTAAATTATATACCATATCTTTCTCATTTTCTTTTCATCGTAGTTCACGTGGTAAATATCATAGTATTTTTGAATATCTGCTTTAAGGAAAAAGTATTTTTGAATAACTGCTTTAAGGAAAAATTAATACTTCTTTGTCAAAATTTTTTGGTAATGCTAAATAAAATTCATACTGTTCGCTTCAAATACTTCATCAGGGAGTTTTCATTCACCGCCCTCCTCCAGAAAAAATTCTAAACTCAAACGTAAAAAATAAACATAAGTAATCAATATCATATACCTATAATATAAAAGTAAACAGAACGAAAATAGTTAATTGCTGCATCAGTTTTTTATTTTTATTTTTTGTTCTTTACTGGCAAAATGAAAAGACATAAGGTAAATGAAGGCAAAACATTCTGTGAGGCAATAAATGAGCTAAGAATATGTTACCATTTGAGAAAGTAAAACATGATTCTTTGATGTGAAGCCTGTGCCAGTCTTTTGTAAGGTCGAACTTTAAATAAATACACACGGATTTCATTCTCAATTGAGAGGAGACAATTTCTGTCTTTGCTCTTGATACTTGTTAAATAAGAAAAGGCTTGCTCACACATGTAAGAAGTTAAAAACTACATTACATAATAGGATGATGTCTACATTACAATAACCAAGAATATATTGTGTGTGTTTTGTCATATTACGTATATGAAATGAAATACAAAGTCAAAAGGGCATTAGTTTATCTAACCAGTTCTCGTTTTAAGAAACGTCGGTCTAAACTAAATGAACTTAATAAAGGTGTTCATTTAAATATCTGCCACACAAATGGTGACTGATTTGAAAGGTTTGCAACAGTAGGTCTGTAAGGCAGAGGCTGGAGTGTGGAAGATCAGACTCCTCTTAGAAAACTGCATCGCCAACTCAGTTACGGAACAACACTCCATTTTATGTCTAATTTGACTCATTTAAAATTAGACATGCCATAAAGAGCCAGGTACTGCCTGGATAGATTCGATTTGTCACAGCTTGTCAACTTTTTGCAGGTTATTTAAAGCCAGAATATAATTTTTAGATTCTGTCCATATTTCTGAGATGAGGTATTTTTATACAAGTCAAGGTCAAATGACCTATTCTACAATATATTTTATACAGAAATATATACAATAACAGGTAAACAACATTAACAGTATTAAACAGTTTTTAAAGGTTTTTTTTTTTAAGTTTTTATTATTAATGGGAGTGCAACGAGTGAGCAGTATTGAAACAGCTAAATATCTTCTTTGCATTGTAGAAGTTATTAGTTCGGACTTCGTGATGTCATTCACAACTCTTTTGCTCTTTGGGTCCTGTCACAGTGACAGGACCCAAAGAATGTGAGTTCAATACCAGGTTAAAGCAGTGGAGAACTTAGAGAGGTGGATTAACAGGAGATAACTGATAACGGACATCCATTATACATGGCACGTGGGACTAGGGCAGTCTACGTCAGCGAACGAAATAAAGAGTTTAGTTCGACATACCAATCACCTGAAGAAGGCCGGAGCGTACAACGGCCGAAACGTTGTGATAAATATGGCAACAAAGATGAGAACAATAGTTCGAATAATGTAAATAGTGAATATAATTTTCTATTTCAGATAGCTCACACGGGCTCGTACAGACTTTCTCAATGTGTGACAGCGTCATTGAAAGTGAATAAACTAAATCCAGTACATGTGTTTTGTATTACAGTATTAGTTATTACTCTCATGTTCTCATTAGATTTTGGCAGGAGTTGATAAGTTTTTCGGGCCACCCTATAGATTTAACATTTCTACGTGAAATCAAGAAAATACAAACTTCAACCAAACGGAACATAATATATTATCAAAATAGGCGCTGGTTTAAGCAAAATCTATGAGGTAAAAAAAATCTAATGCCATAAAAGTCGGCGTGAGTAATCTGGTACGTCTATCGTAATATGCCATTGTCGAGAGGGGTTCAAATTCAAGCCGAAGGGGTTGCGTTCGCTTTCACACGAATAATATTGAAGGGACAGAAATCATTTATTCTCTCTCGGCTAGTGGTCATATAGTAAGGTAAAATAGTATGGATTTGGCTTTCCAAGGGATGAGGCAAATATGAAAAAAAAACCTGAAAATATCAGCCTCTTTGTCTTAAACAGTTCGTAACTAAACTATCTCTTTCTGTTCAGATATATCTATCTATCTATCTATCTATCTGTTCTTATCTATTTATCTGGCTAGCTCATTCTGTTGACCTCTCTCTATCTCATTCTATTACGTGCTAATACCCCTGGGAAAGTTGTGAATCCCCTTCTTCTCCCTCCAGCTATGGGTAAATAGCAAGACAGACTGGGTTCTATAATCTTGGATGGCAACTGGTCTAGGAGAAGGACAACTCTGAATTCAAAACCTGCGGAGGGTCGTTTGGGAACCTTGTGGCATTCGGTGCACCAGGTCTCTGTATTCGTCCCTTCAAAAAGTGTGGATGGTCCTGCACGAGGCCTTCACCACTATAATTAAATTTCATGTGCCGGTGTCGGGCTGTCGGTTTCCTAGGAACTGATCTGCTTGAACCTCATACGTCGAATCTCGACGGGGGAGTCGACTATATATATATATATATATATATATATATATATATATAGCCTCCTGTTCTTTATCTCATTCTGTATTTATCTCACTCATTCACTATCTATCTATGTATCCCACTCTGTTTATCATCTATATCATTTTGTTCACATCTATCTATCTATCTATCTATCTATCTATCTATCTATCTATCTATTTTATCCTGCATGTATATGTATTTCTCTCATTGTCTATCTATCTATCTATCTATCTATCTATCTATCTATCTATCTATCTATCTCATTCTCTTCGTATCTATCTATCTATCTATCTATCTATCTATCTATCTATATCTATCTGATGATGTTATTATCTATGTATCTATCTCATGATGTTCCTATCTATCTATCTATCTATCTATCTATCTATTCTTATCTATTAATATGGCTACCTTATTCTGTTGACGTCTCTCTACTTCATACTCTCTCTCTCTCTCTCTCTCTCTCTCTATATATATATATATATATATATATATATATATATATATATCGCTTCCTGTTCGTTATCTCATTCTGTATTTATCTCTCTCATTCTCTATCTATCTATGTATCTCACTCTGTTCATCTATCTCATTCTGTTCATATCTATCTATCTATCTATCTATCTATCTATCTATCTATCTATCTCATGCTGCATGTATATTTATCTCTCTCATTATCTATCTATCTACCTAGCTAGCTAGCTTGCTAGCTAGACGTTTGCAGTCTGTTCATATCTACCGTAATTCTGTGTGTATATGACGCAGGTTTTTCTTCGATAATTCTGTCCAAATCTGTTGCGTCGTTCCTTTGTGCGTCAACTGCATGAATTTCGCCGTGCTACTAGATTGGCATTTAGGTCTCACCTTTTTACCGTGGCACTAGCTAGATGCAACCACCACAGCTATTATAATAGTTTATTTCCCCCGTACTTTCCGCCTGTGGAGCTCCATTACAATAACTTGCTTCTCTGACACCTACAATCTTCAAAAATACAACGTCAATCGCCATATTCTGTTTGCCTGAGCCCCGTTCTTTATTGTTCTTTTCCTCACGTCTCCTCGCTGAATTTTTCTCTTTTACTCCCCCTAAATCCCTGCGTTCTAGTGGCATTATCGCCTTGCTACTAGGGAAATAATTAAAATATATGGGCCTCTAATTCTATAATGAGAATCGTCCTTTTTTTATATAATGGTGTTCATTTTGTGCAAGGCCCGGTAGCCACTCGAGATAGAGGGCTACAGAGTAAAGAGCACAGCTTTTGCTGATATGTCTAGCAGATAACGGTTATCCCTAGCCCGGAACATGTTAAGATTGTAGTGATCAAGGAAGCAACTTCTTGTTTCTGACAGATCCGTCTACACAATTTTACTCAAGGTTTGGGGCGGGCAAACGGCGGTAGCCAGATGCGCATCACGTTGAGGCTGCCTCCTCTGGTCAATAATATTCTGACAAATTAACTATGATGGGATTCGAACCCGACTCAAATACCTAATGCTCTAACTACTCGGCCACGGGCTAAGTAAGGCGAAATACGTATATATGCAAAATTTTTCATTTTATTAGGTTGGTGCAAAAATAATGACGTAATAATGTCGTTTTTTGGCGTTAAAAAATACGTCAAAAAACGACATTATTACGTCATTATTTTTGCACCAACCTAATATGTGCCATGTCCTTTCACGACATAGGCGATCATGGCTCACCGAATCCCTTTATTCCTTCCACAAGTTCCTTTTTCCTGCTACATCCCACGTTCTGTCATCCACTTGCTTAAGCCCGCTAGGTATGCCATGCGTTGTTTTCCCTTGACTCTCTTTCCCTCTATTCGACCCGTGAGTATCAGATTCTCCAGGTGCTTCTTCCTCATCATGTGTCCCAGAAACTTCAGTTTCCTCTTCCTGGTCTTAAGTAAAAGCCCCCTCCTTGTTTGCATCCTTTCTAAGATCTCATCGTCAACTGATACAATGTTAGGGATGAATAGAAGTGCGTTTTATAGACCGTATTACTTTCTTTTTATGTGCCATGTGATTTCAGGTCGTAGGCGATCATGGCTCTCCATCTCTCTCTATTCCTTGCGTCTCTTAACAAGTTCCTTTTCCTCTGCTACCTCCCAGAGACCACGTTCTCTCATCCACTTGCTTAAACCCGCTAGGTATGTCATGCGTTGTTTTCCCTTGTCTCTCTATCCCTCTATTTGACCCGTGTGTATCAGATTTTCCAGGCCCTCCTTCCTCATGTCCCAGAAACTTCAACCGCCTCATCCTGGTGTTAAGTAAAAGCCTCCTCCTTGTTTACATCCTTTCTAAGAACTCGTTGTAAACTGATACAGTTTAAGGGATGAAAAGAAGTGCGTTTTATAGACCGTATTTCTTTCTTTTTATGTGCCATTTGATTTCAGGTCGTAGGCGATCATGGCTCTCCATCTCTCTCTATTCCTTGCAGCTCTCCACAAGTTCCTTTTCCTCTGCGTCCTCCTAACAACCACGTTTTGTCATCCACCTGCTCAAGCTCTCCAGGTATGTCACGCGCTGTTTTACCTTGTTTCACTTTCCCTCTATTTGACTCGAGTGTATCAGATTCTCCAGGCCCTCCTTCCTCATTATGTGTGCCAGAAACCTCATCTGCCGCTTTCTGATGTTACGTATAAACATCCTCCTTGTTTGCCTCCTCTCTAAGAGCTCATACTGATACTGTTTTCGGGATGAAAAGAAGTGCGTTTCATAGACCGTATTTACTCGTCGCAAATTTCTCATTCTGACGTTTATCTGTGGTGAAAATGAAAAATGCATACTTCTAGCTTTCAACTGATTTTGAACACCGGCCATTGTTTTTGCTTGCAGATACGGTATTAAATAACCATATCAAATGAATATAAAGCCGCTTGTGAGGCGGGAAAATGAATCACGTTTGTGACACACTTAAGTACTACTGGT